GTTGTGGCACAATGTTTAAAAATATCTATACATCTTCCCTCGTAGGACTGCAGTGTTTCCTATGTACCTGAGCATGGAACACGGAACGCCCTTATAAGCTGCTCCATATGGGGAATCTGATTCCTTGCAGGTCAACCTACTTTTCCTCATGTACTAATGAAATCGGCTTCAGCCTCAACTTTGTAGGATTAACAGAACACAAAGATGGAAAATCAAGAATCCAATTTCTACTTTCCTGTAATATGGTTATACCAAGTCCAGTCTTCACTGTATAAAAAATACATAGGAAAGTGCTGTATACATTCTTCACATGGAAAAAACAAAGTTAAAGCAGAGCTGACCTATGTCAGACCTGTATTTTAGTTCTGTGGTGACCACTGTGCCTCATGCTATGCATTTAAAAAAAAATTAAGACTTTGTTTTTTAGAGCAGATTAAGCTTACAACAAAATTGAGAGATACAGAGATTTCCCATTTCCTCCCACACCCACACATGCACAGCCTCCCCTGTGACCAACATCACTCACCAGAGTGATATGTGTGTGTGTGTGTGTGTGTGTGTGTGTGTGTATGTGTGTGTATGTGTATATAAACAAATGATGAACACATTATTATCACCCAAAGTCCATAGTTTGCCTTAGGGTTTACTCTTGATGTTGTACATTCTATGGGTTTAGACAAATGTATAATGGCATACATGTATCATCATAACATCATATAGAGTATTGTCACTGCCCCAGAAATCCTCTGTGCTCTTCCTATTTATCTGTCCTCCCCCGCCTATCCCTAGTAACCACTGATCTTTTTACTGTCTCCATTGTATAACAGAAGGTCATATAGTTAGAATCATACACCCTGTAGCCTTTTCAGATTGGCTTCTTTCACTTAGAAATATACATCTGAGTTTCTTCCATGGCTTTTCATGATTTTTGAGTGCTGAATAATAGTCCATTGTCTAAGCGTACCACAGTTTATTTATCCATTCACCCATGGAAGGGCATCCTGATCGCTTCCAATTTTTGGCAATTGTGAATAAAGCTGCTATAAATTACTTTCCGCAGATTTTTTTGTACAATGTAAGTTTTCAGCTCCCTTGCGTAAGTATCAAGTCCTGTGATTGCTGAATCATGTGGGGAGTATGTTTAATTTGTAAGAAACTGCCAAGCTGTCTTTCAGAGTGTCTGCACCACTTTGCACTCCCACCAGCAATGGATGGGAGGTCCCCGTTGCTCCACATCCTCGTCAGCATTAGGTGATGTCAGTGTTCTGGATTTTGGCCATTCTAAAAGGTATGTAGGGGTGTTGCTTTAATTTGCATTTCCCTGATGACATCTTCCCATATGCTTATTTGCCATTTTGCCATCTGTATATCTTCTTTGATTAGGTATCCGTTAAGGTCTGTGGCTCATTTTTTAATCAGCTGTTTTCTTACTGTTGAATTTTTAGAGAGTTCTTCATATATTTTGGATAACAGTTCTTTATCAGATATGTCTTTTTCAAATATTTTCTTCCAGTCTGTGACCTGTCTTCTCATCCTCTTGACACTGTCTTTCCCAAAGAAGCTGTTTATCTTAATGAAGTCCAGCCTATCAATCATTTCTTTCATGGACCATGTCTTTGGTGTCATATCTAAAAAGTCATTGCCACACTCAAGCTCATCTAGGTTTTCTCCTATATTACCTTCTAGGAGTTTCACATTTTATATTTGTATTTATATTGAGTTTAATTTTTGTGAGGGCTGTAAGTTCTGTGTCTGGATTCACTTTGTGCATGTGGATGTCTGGTTGTTCCAGCACCATTTGTTCAAGAGACTATCTTCGCTCCATTGCATTGTCTTTATCAAATATCAGTTGACTATATTTATGGGGGTCTGCTTGTGGGCTCTCTATCCTGTTTCATTGGTTTATTTGTTTATTCTTTTACCAATACCACACAGTCTTAATTGCTATAGGTTTATAGTACATCTTAAAGTCGGTAGCATCAGTCCTCCAGCTGTGTTCTTCTTCAAAATTGTGTCAGCTATTCTGGGTCTTTTGCCTCTCCATATAAACTTTAGAATCAGTTTGTCAATATCCATAAAGTAACTTGCCGGGAAATTGGCTGGGATTGCACTGAATCTATAAATCAAGTTGGGAAGAACTGACATTTTGACAATATTGAGTCTTTCTATCCATGAACATAGAATAACTCTCCCTTAAGTTCATCTTTGAACTTTCATGCTTCAGAGTTTTGTAGATCTTATACATATTTTGATAGAATTATATCTAAGTATTTCATTGTGTTGGGTGCTTCATCTAGGGATGAATCCTTCTTTGGCTTCTCCAGCTTCTGGTGGCTATTGGCATTCTTTGGTTTCTTTGGCTTGTGGAGACTCTAGTCTCTGCTTCCATCTTCACATTGCATTCTCTGTGTGTCTCTTCTAAAAACACATTTCATTGGATTTTGGACCCACCCAGGTAATTCAGGATGATCTTATCTCAAATCCCTTAATTAAATCTGCAAAGACCCTCTTCCTAAATAAGTTCATATTCACAGGTTCCAGAGGTTTGGATGTGGACATGTGGTTTTTTTTTTTTTGTTTTTTTGTTTGTTTGTTTGTTTGTTTTTTTGTTTGTTTTTTTTTTGTTTTTTTTTTGAGGAGGGTGGGCAGAGGGACACCATTCAACCTGCTATAGTAATCTTGAAATTATTTCCAATTCTGAAGCTGGGGACCACAGTCGCTCTGAGAATTTTGAGAAACAGTGATTTTCATCCGCGGTTTCTACTCTTTTCCTGGTCGGTCACAGGGTGTCCTGTCGAAAGCCCAGTAGCATAGTATGGTGGCAAACCATGGCAGATAGGTGCTTCAGGTCAAACTGGACTTAGCTTTGGGTGAAAGACACAAAGCAGCAAGTATGTCATTGTGGAGAAACTTCTCTATTGATTTACTTTAAAATATTTAGAATTTAGGTTTAACTCCAGGAATGGTTTCAACTTGGAACATGAGGAGTAAGGCTATGGAAACTCTAGGTACCAAAGTCAGACCTGTAGGTGGCAGCAGGGAGGCGTGGGGACCTCTACCAATCCTGCTAATGATGTTACTGAGGAACCTAACAGAAAATCCCTAGCAGTCAAATATTTGAGTGGTTAAAGGGGATGCTTTCCTTTGCAAAGAGAACATTATGTGTTTTGATTAGTAGGAGAGAGCTCCCATTTTAGGGACAGCATGACATGTGGAGCCTGAGAACCAGCAGACCTGAGTTCCTGCCAAGTCTCTACATAATGCACCACAAACACCATCCCTTCGCCCTTATCCGTGAAGGGCATCTCAGGGTTTCCAAGGTCAAATCCAACTTTTGAGATTCCATGGATCATCAGAGGAGAATCACTGTTCATGCTGCTGATTCTGTGTCTTCCTTTCTCAGAGAAAAAAAGAAAGACTCAATGCATCCATAGCAGAAAACAGGCACCAGATGAAAACTCTTAGTTAAATAAGCCAACGGCCCCATCGAAAGACACCATACAGAACATAAAACAAAAACAGGGAGAAGGTATCTTTTTGTGATTTTGCTTGGCTTCCTCACGGCAGCGGGGTAGGAGACTATTATCTCCCATCTAGCTGTCTTATAGTTAAGAAATGGCTCCCAGACCACCACATCTCCCTCAGTGCTTCGAAAACCAGAAGTTACAAGACCTAAGCTACAAGGTTAAAAATCAAAAGGTGCTTTGTGAGTTCAGGAGACTTCCCTGAGAGGTCCAGCCACAGCTGGAGTGGGAAAAATACTAGCTTTGGGTCTAGTCAGTGGACAAAAGCGGACCCAATGCTTAAACTCAAACTAAGTTCCTTGTTGGAAAACATGAAATTGGCAGGGATTATTTGGAGGGAAAAGAGCAGGATTTACAGACACATATTTAAACTTACAAGTAAAAATATATATATATTTATCTATTACATATCTATATTTTATTAATACATTAAATACATTAAGTATTTAAAATATTAAATGTTTTAATTAATATGGTAAATATGTTTGATAAAATATTTTACTATATCAATATAATTATGGATTCATATAGCAAATAACATTTATTATATATTAACATATCTGTTTAAATCTAGAGCTCATGAAAGCCCACAGATGTTTTTTAACATATAACTTGCCATGATCTGGGAATTCTAGTCCAGGGTCAGCTAAGGGAGACACTGTTTATACAGTGAGCCTAGTGAGAAATAGACTTGCTTGCAATAAATTGTATTTCCTTAAATTACATTCTATGATGAATTTTTTACTTAAGGTAATTAGACCTTAGGAATTATTAGGCTTTGTTGTTCGATAGAGTGCTATGTTTTTATTGAAAAGTCACTACTGAGTGGCAACATAAGCCTTCAGACTCAGAAGGTTAGGTCATAGATGGGTGGCCCCCTAACTTTTCACCTGTCCAGTTCCCAGGAAGGCATAAACAGCTCTCTCTGCTCAGGTTAGTTCTGCGCACTCAGACCTGAACGGGCAACACAAAGAACAAGGGACACATTAACTCTAAGTTCAGTGGCCAGAGTACCTGGGTTTGTATCCCAGCGCTGCCGCGCACCGGTTGGAGACCTTGGGCAAATTACTTCACCTCTCTGTTCATTCCATCACCTGTGAAATGGGTCATTTATAGATGGTGCCTAGTTGGTAAGGTTGTTGTGAAGATTAAATCAGCTATCTAATTTCTATGCATTCACTGTTATTGTTATAATTATCACTACTACTATTGTTTGACACAAAGCAAGGATGACTCTTTTTTTAGAAATAGAAAGAAGATGTTTGTCTCCTATCCACTCAAAACATGCCATCCATAGCATTACTGAGATAGTAAGGCAGCACCAAGCACTACACAGCATTTGACAGTGAAAATATGCATGCTTTTTATTTCTGCTGTTTAGGAATGTATGATGCGCAGTCAGAAAGGGGTAGCACCGTGTGGGATAAAAGGTCCAGGTAAATGGCACTTCTTTCTGGTGTGGGCAAGGCCACTTCTTCATTTGGCAGCGTGCTTCTTATAGATCTCCAGGAACTCCTTCACGTCTTCAGGCGACCCCAAGATGATTGGCGCCCTCTGGTGGATCTCAGTGGGAACAATGTCCAGTACAGCTTCTTTGCCAGTGGTAGCCAATCCTCCAGCCTTCTCCATGACGTAGGCCATTGGGTTACATTCGTATAGCAGTCTCAACTGAAAAAAAAGAGCCAAGAGCAGCGCCCTCACACCAGAAAATATTACATAGAAAAGGGATTCGTTCTATACCAAACTAATACAGAGCTAGTGGGAGTTTCCTAGGTAACATGTAACTCTCCCTTTCCTTCTATGAGGTTGTAATAGCCCCCACCCCCAAGGCTGCCTCTAAGACCAAATGGTTAACTTAACCATTTGGTTAAATTAAGCCATTCATCAAGCCAGAGCCAGAGCCAGCAATAGATGGCCTGATGCAAATGGGAGACAGACCACCTGGACTCAGGACTGAATGACATTTTGGCAGAACTGATGGTTCCCTTCTCTTTATAGCACGGAAACTGGACCTAATGAGTGACTCGGTGTGTGTTTTGGATGGAGCTTTGCCTATTCTAAAAGCATTAAACATCCATGGTAGTGTCTGGCTGCAGACATCTGGAAAGCAGACTGGCTCCTCCAAACAGTATGATATTGTTTGCAACGCTGTGCACGTTCCTTTTACAATTCTCCAAAGGCTTCAGGGTTGGGATTTAGTATGTTATACATCTTGGCATTTACTTTTAAATATTAACTTTTTTATTGTGTTCATTTTCATGCAGTCTGCCTATTGAGCAGACAGCTTTTTGCAGGTGTTTCCTGACTCTATTTCCATACAGGTGTCATGGCCAGAGTTGCAAAATTGAGGGGGAAAAAAGGAGGCACCTCAATATCTGTGTTCAGAAACAATTTTTTGAGGCATTAAAGAAAAGTGCTATGGAGCAGGCTAATCACACAGGCTGAGATGCCTGACGTGGCTGTGGCAAGGGCGCTGTTTTAAGCAAATAAGAATGCCTTCAGCAAACTGGACACCACCAGCTGTAAACAGAGATCTGAACATATCTGGAACATATACACTTCTAACTATCTTAAGGGGATTATTGTTCCCATTCCTTCATTAAAAAAAAAAAAAAAAAGACAGTCTGTTTATCGGGGAAAACAAAGGGACAATACTTGGGAAGGAAACATACTGTCACTGTGTAGAAGAAAAGCGGGGCATCCCTCAGCCAGTGTTAAGCGAGCACAGCTCACCCCATGGCTTTGGGACTCTGCGGGCATTAGACCAGTGCAGTCAGTGGTAACAGCTTCCCTGAAATCTCTAGGTTTCCCCAGAGAGTCTTTCTTTCCCTAGGAAGGTTTCATTTTCCAAGCAGCCAATGTCAGCTCATTAGTTATTTCTATTTTATGCCTCTTGAAAGCAATCAAAGGAAACCTTTACTTGGATACATATTCGATTTTTCTGCCTTGGCAATGAAGCTGAACTGTTTCATTTCACATTATGAATGGCATTCATTTTTCCCAGGCCAAACCACGCACCCACTGGAAGCACCCGTCCTCACCATAACACTATTACTTATCTTTAGCAATGGAAGGGCTCTCAAGAGACCATTTTGAGCTGATATCACCTGGCTTTAATGAGGACAACCTCTAATCTAGGAAAGAAGATGCCACACATATCCTCAGCATCCTACTGTGGGGCACAATGGCAATATAATAGCTACTGTCATCTTTCTTTCTTCCGAAGTCAAATTCCCTGGGCTGCAAAGGAACTCCACTGCCTCTCAATCACCTTTCAGGGGATTTGTTTACCTTTCCATTGGGGCTCTTCTTGTTAGCTGGGTACAGAAAGATCCCTCCATAGACCAGGGTGCGGTGGACATCAGCCACCATGGAGCCCACGTACCTGGCGCCATAGGGCGCTGTGTTGTCCTGCAAGGTTAAGATTAACAATAATTAGGGTTGCCGCAAAGAAAATGAGTTCTGTGTCCTCTATGCTCATCTGATTCAACAGTCATTTAATGAACACCTACGAGGCGCTTATTTGGGGCTGTGATAGGCAATGTGAGGAATATCCTGTTCCCAAGGAGCAGAAACAGCCCCATTCTTACACATCTCACAATAGGTCAAACTACCTGCAGAAGCCCCAACCGGGGATGGGTTGATTCTGGTTATGGGGTTGGGACGGCCATCACAAAATCATACGTTTTAACGGGACATTGCAGGCTGAGAAGGATTTTGCCAAGCTAAGGAGCTGGGCAAGGGGGGAAGGGAACCACCCAAGCAAATATGGCAACACAGAGAAGGCAAATGCAAATGCTGTCCACCAGGGGCCTGGGGAGGACCCTGGTGCAGTGTGTGTGTGCAGGCTTCAGGGGTGGGAGGGGAATCCAGGGTAAAGTGGAAAGAGAGATAGTAAAGCTGGAAAGAGAGCCTGGGGCCAGCTCTAAGGCCCTGAATGCCAAACAGTATCTGGGCTTCCTCCTCAGTGGCATTTAAGTAGGAGTATGACAAAACTGGATATTCCTGCATAGAACCAGCTCTATAAACAGCCATTCCTTCTCTTTGTATTTGGTAATTTGTAACCTCTTCAGAAAGATGCCAAGATGGACACTCTTAATCTTGAGATGGTGGATAGAAATCCATCGGACACCACAAGGTGGGCACCTGGGTACGAGAACCACATTCTGTGCCATCTGAGATCAGGGACTACAGAAGTGAAATGTTTTACTGCCATGAACGAACTCATTCATCCAGCGACTTTATTATCCTAATTTTCTTCTGCCAAGAGAAAGTAGCAAAGGCTGACACGGACCCTCGGACTTTGACTTCTGAGGGCAGGGGTTCCAGTGCCCAGGACTAGGTGGGAATTTCATCATGGGGTCAGTGCACAGTGGAATCCAAGGCCCTGTGATCCCTGCCACCTTTAGCCTCCAGGCTAAATCATAAACCAACAGATCTGTGCATAACTCACGGGCCCTTGCCCAGAGCCCTCACTTACCGGGGGGAACTTCTTCCTCTGGACATACTCAGTGACAGCAGGGTCGAATTCCTTGGCATAGCCCTCATTGAGGCTGAAGATATTTCCTTTCTTTTTGATTTTCACGTCCCTGTCCACCAAAATGAACTCTCCAATGGCCTGGAAACAGGAAGGAGAGGGAGAGGTGATGAGCTGCCTCCTCCAGGGGCCTGTGTGAGGGCTGGGCTGGGCTGGGCTGGGCTGAGTTGGACTGAGCTGGGCTGGGGGTCCTGAAGCTGGGGGGCACAGGATGCTTCTCCTGGAGCTGGGACACTATGTCCCCAGCCTGCCACTTCAGTAATGGCGAACAGGACAAGGGAAGAGTCAGTGGGCAAAAAGGAAAGAAGAGAAGAGGCTGCCGCAGATGTTGTTAGGGGATCGAAATTTTTGGGTTTGCTTTCAAATGGTTTCAGTAAAACAAGAGAGAAACCATACAAAAACAGGGAGGGCAGAAATAGGTAAAACAGCAGCAAAGCCTGAGGGAGATTGAGAATTGTGTGTCCACTCATACGTGGAATTTAAGAAACAAAACAAATAAGCAAAGGAAAAAAGAAGAGAGAGAGAAAGACAAACCAAGAACCAAACTCTTAACTACAAAGAACAAACTGATGGTTACCAGAGGGGAGGTCAGTGAGGAGATGGGGTCTGCAAAGTGTTTCTCAGAACTCAGTCCTGCCACCAAGTCCCAGTGCTCAGTTGATGCCTTTAGGGCTGAGGTACTTTAGAGGAGATGGCAATCTGGAAGGAAAGTGTCACCTAACTCCCACTGCTCTGGACTGAGGGTTGTTTGGGGCTCCCACATGCCCTGAGAAGAGGGCGCTTGAAGACCTGTCCTGTGGGGAGGGGGCTGTTCCATGGAGGTGAGAGGGAAGAAAGGAGGTATCAATACACCTGTCTCCAGCCATTTACCTCCCCCCCAGCAGAGAGTGGTTCCTGCAGACAGGGAGTGTGTCTGACCTAGAAAGAGAGGAATAGAAGGAGGGAGGGAAGGCAGAATGGAAGGAGAACAGGAAGGATGAGGAAAAGGAGAAAAAGAGACTGGAATTAACAGTGGTCATTGGAAGGCTTCATTGTGAGTGATTCTTCTTTTTTCCTTTTATGCTTTTTTTCCCCAAAAATTCTGACCACAGTTATGTAGAAACATTCTTTTATAATCAGAAAACTAAATAAATAAATAACTATATTTAGAAAAGAATTCTTGAGGGGCGCCTGAGTGACTCAGTCAGTGAGTGACTGGCTCTTGATCTCAACTCAGGTCAGGATCTCATGTTCATGGGATTGAGCCCCGAGTTGGGCTCTGCATGGAGAGCATAGAGCCTATTTAGGATTCTTTCCCCCTCTCTCTCTGCCCTTCCCCCTCCCTCCCCCTCTCTCTCTCTCTCTCTCTCTCAAAATAAATAAACATTTTTTAAAAAGCATTTTAAAAAAGAAAGAAAAAAAGTCTTGAAAACAAATGCATCACACAACAGGTGCCGAGAGCTCATGAAGCCATGCTTCCAGATGCCCTGCCCTGGTACCTGGCCAGAGCATGCGAGACATGAAGGAGCAAAGTCTCTTGCAAGTGCAGACAAGAGACTAAAAAGCCTTCTGAAAGTTAAAGCCTGCTGGAAACACAGAGAGAGCTGTCTCAGTATTTTTAGCAGAAACCATCAGCCAAAATGAAAAGAAAGCGCTAAGGGGGTCCGAGGTTCGCCCCGCAGGCACCAGAGAGCAGTGGGTTAATGAGATGGTGTCCCCAGCAGGGGACCATTACAGCAGGCATGCACCATTCTTCCAGACACCGAGGGGCCATTAGGTCTCAGGATGGCAAAAGACTATCAAATACACAGAAACTTACTCCCAGAGACACCGGTCTACGATCTGGAAACAAGAAAAGATTTCATTTTTCTACACGTCCACCAACTCAAAGGTAACAGAGAAGTCACCAGAAGAATGTCTGGGGGAAGCAGTACATCTCTGGCAAAACAGTAAATCTGCAAACATCAGTGATTCCAGAAACTGTCCACTGGGCTCCAGGTGAACTTTGCTCTGGTTCTGCCACTATTTTCCCCTGAGGTCACCTCATTTGGAGGCTTAATCTGGTATTGTTCCCTTAGCCTTGTTTATCTATTAAGCACCGGTTCTTCCAAGGAGGCAAAGTCCAGTTGTGCAAGATTGTAGGGGGCCAAGGCAGCCTACGTTCTCATTTATACCATCTGCCATGCACAGAGTCCAGGGCCTCACCAGGAACAAACTGTCTCCCTCCAGGTGCCAGCCAGGCATCTATACCTTGTGTTCAGTGCGTCAACAAAAAGCACCAAATAGATGAAGTTTCGTTACTGTCATAGGAGGACTCGTCGAAAACTAAAAGGTATTTATAAGCCCAGTTCTTTTCCCTTTGGGGCACTGTATCGAATGCACAATGAACGTGCCGACCTACTGAATTCTACATTCAACAGGTTTTAAGTGGGCCAGATATTTAAAGAGATTTCTTTCCCCAATTCATCTGCTTTGTTGAAACCGTCATCTACCTGAATAAAGAGATACTTCCAATTAACAGGCATGTGGAAGGAATTACCAACAAATTAAAACTGTTAATATTTTCACGGCACCCTGGACTCCTCTTTGTAAGGTAGCTTTTCTCTATAAGGTGGCAGGAGGAATTATCTTCATTGCCCTCTTTAAGTTCTCTTCCTTGAGTTTTTCAAAGCCTTATCAAAACTTCAAGGGTTCACAGAAGGTGTGCATGCATGAGCACAACATCAAATGAATTAGGTAGCTATTTTTGAAGAAATGTAAGCCACTGCATTGGGACACCCATTCACCTCTGCAAAACAAGCTATTTAACGGAGATACTGAGTGGCAAACAGACCATCTACAGGCCCTATCTGGCCCATAAATGTGTTTTAGTTGGCTAGCACATACATTTTTTAAATCCAGTGTTTCTTGAAACATTGGAAGCTTTGGCAAGACTGGGCCCCTATTCCCAAATAGTAACAATTGCTAGACCTCTCCAGCTAGCTTTCCCCATTCCCCACCATTGCCCCAGTCTTCCTTCCCCAGCACACTGCATTCACTTACATGGCCTGCCTGGACTTGGTGGACATTTGAATCCATTTGGTAATGTCTGTTCTAAAGAATTAATCTTGGAACAAAGTCCCCCACTTATGCTCTGGACAAATATTATTTCTCACCTCAGTAGGCTTCTCACGATATACACAGTGCCCCTCCATCTCCCTCACTCTTTCCCCACTCCATCGTCTCTGCCCCACCGTGGGCCTCATTTCCCACCTCTACATACCCCCCCTTCACTCTCCCACACAAATAACAGACATATGCAGTCACCAGCCAAGCACCTAACTTCACACAGTGTCTCTCACCGGGTCCAGCATGAAGCAGTTGACGCCATTCGCCATGGCCAGGACCAACATGGTGGCACTGCCATAGAGGGCGTAGCCGGCAGCCACCAGTTTCCTGCCTGGCTGCAAAGCGTCCTTCTCAGAAGGCTCATCAGCTGAACTCTGGGATAAGAAAGAAAACACAACATGTTTTTGTTTTATGTTTCCTTTTTCCAGTTCAATCATTAGCAAGATGCATTATCAAGGTACTCTCCTAATACAACAGGGCATCTTCCTAGAAGGGCCTTCCTCCACACATCAGTAATATCCTGATTACATTACCACAGCAGCCTTCCCCCATACTGCAGATTTCCTGCATCTGGATCCTTCTTTCCAGTCAGGGGCCTCCTCCAATTTTACTAATTTGATATTCCCTCATTTCTCCATTATCACTTTCGAAAAAGAGCATGCCTCCTTGCCAGCTCCCACTAATTTAATCTTATTACAGGCATCAATGTCTTTCACCTGCCTACTCCATCTTTATTTAAACATATTAAGCCTGGGCTGCAGGACTGTTAGTCTGGCGAGGAAATCAATTTTGTGGGCTTTGGCCAGTTGCTGCGCGTGCCTTAGTGGGCAGTGTGGCCTATTGCCTCACACACCCAAGCAATTCTCAGAAATACGGGAATTTAAAAGATCTCTCCAGAGTCATTCCAGGATAGGGCAGTTGCTTTCCATTTTGTTGATCACATCCCACAGTAAAAAAATACACTCACACCACAAACCAGTACCAACACACGTGCACATGCACACACAACTACACAAATTTAATAAAGCAATACTCACACTTAGAACATTACATGCACCCTAATCTTTTCATTTTTCATTAAAAACATAGCCCACCGGGTCATGTGACCATAGTTTGATACTAAGGAAGGGGACGCCTTAAGGGGATCTTCTTTATTAACACCTGATTGGCTTCTTCAGTCCTCAAAACAGCCCCAAACAAATCTTTCAGCTCAAATACTCTCTACTTGGATTCAAACAGAATAAAAAATGAGCAATTTCTGCCAATTTCATTTATTCCTTCCCCAATCAGAGATTCCAGTAGCTGAAAATAAGTACACACATCTGTATCAAAATGCCGGAGATGGAAGTCATCCCAGCAAAAACATCCCTGGTAATTTTTCCCTGTAACTTTTGACACTGTGGCCCAGAGGCCATCTGCATCAGAATCACTCAGTACGCCTATTAAAAATGTGTATTCTGGGGGTGCAGCCTAAGCTTACTAAGCCAGACTTTCTAAGGGGGAATCTGCATTTTACTGTGCACCATACATGACTCTTGCACTGTAGTTTATAAAAAAGGAAGAGTCCAAAAGCCATTTTTTCTCCTTTTTCCCCTCATTCCCACTCCTGTGTCTAATAAATGGTTTTCACTAAGGCAGTTTGTTGGTTTTTTGGCTGGATTGGGTCATGTTATTTGATTTAGTTTGGTTTGTGTTCATAGAGCAGTGCATTGCATCTAAACACAGACCAATCACGCTATCAAGATTTTGAGTTGTTTTCCCAAACTCCAAATTTTGCCAGTGTCCAACCTGAAAAAAAGAACCAGCTTTCTTCAAAGCCAGTGACATAGGGGAGGACTCAGTCCTCCAATTTTCCTCTATCACAACTACTTAACCCTGCCAATGCAGTGAGAAATCAGGTAACAGCAATATGTAAACGAATGAGTTGACTGGGAGCCACTAAAGTCTTGAAATAATGAGTTCTCCAGTAAGAAAAGTCCCTCAAAGATCCATCTCACCCAGAACCATCTGTGCCTGCCTGTGCCAACAGTGCAAGGGTAAACAGCATTTCCTGAAATGTCGCCACCTGAAAAACTTACCCTCTGACTTCCATAGAATAAGAAATGATCACGTTGTCTATGATCCACACACTCAGAGAAAATAATGCCATGGAATCATGGATTAAGAGGCATTCTTTCCTAGCCTGATCTTTCTAATGCATGGGTTCCCTCCTTCAAACCCCAGCAGTGAAGGCCTTTGTTCCAAGGGATCCATCACATTCCCATGCAGATGCTCATGGACCCACCGATGAGCCCTAGGCAAAATTAGAGAAAGTCTCTAGACCCTACCTTTCACTACCTATCCCAGGCCCCACCTGCTGCAGGTATGGGTTTGTTTTACTCCACACCACTTCATGAGGAAGACATCATGGAGTCTGGAGACTTAAGGCAGTGGAAGAGAATATCAGGCAAGAGTGGAGCTATGCTATCTTGTCACTTATCTGGTCTTCCCTCAGAGGGGCAGCCAAACCCTCCTTGGAAGGGCTCACAGGCATTTGAGAGTCCCCCATAACTCAGCCAATATTGTTCATTTACTATTACACTAGACAACCTAGCCTACAAAAAATAAATAAAACAAAGCCCTGCCCTCAAGGGGTTTATAATCACTAGTGAACATGGGTAAGTTTTGCCTGGTCAGCAACCACAATCCTTCTGATAACTGCACTCACTGTTAATCTCCTTAACATACTCCCGGGCCCTCAGCTCTCAGGGGGGGCACATGACCCTGGCCTGGCCAACAAAATCATCGCATGCCTCAAGCCATAGTGATTGGTTGAGGGATGGCCAGGTGATCAAAGCCAAGCCAATCAGACCCAATGAGATGACATTCTTATTGCAATTGTTGGAAAAGAGGCTTCCATCTTCTGCTCGACTTAATTGAGAGGGATGGGTGTGAGCCTGGATTTGCTAGGCGCTGTTTTGCCACCAGAGAGGAGGAGCGCAGTAGAGACGGAGAGGACGCGTCTCCTGGTTGCATGGTCTGAGTCCTTGAATGCAGCTGCACCTGAAGCAAATCTATCCACTGGGCTTTCTACTTATGAGAACCAATAATTTTCTTCTACTTTCCTTCCTTCCCTCACTCCCTCCCTTTTTTCATTCCGTTCTTTAGTTTGAGTTCTGATACTTTCCATTGAATGTTCACATACAAACCAAGTAATATTAATAGCTAACATTTATCAAACACTTTTTTTGTGCCAGATACTATTTTTGGGGCATTATTTTTAAGTTTCAGTACCTCCCCTTTACAGATAAGGAAACAAGAGGTACAGAGAGTTAGTTACTTTGCCCAAGGTCCTATAGAACTGGTAAGTGTCAGTGTTAGGAAGCTGCATTCCATATGGCTATTAATTAATAAGTCTCCCTGTGCTCAGTTAAAGGACTTGAATTGGATTCTGAAACTGCCCGAGCACTTGTGAAACTACATTTAGTTGTGGGGACTGGATATTTCCAAAACCATCTCATATGAAACAGGTTTAGCTTAAAAACATTTTTTTTTGAAAAAAAAAAAAATTTAAGGGG